TTTTCCTGAGTCTGATCTAAAATCAGCTGGCCCTCGACAGACAACTTGGCACAGCCATTTCATCTCCCCTGGATCATTCACGAAGCTTCCGAATCTATATTCACCCTGGACCAAAGCTAAAGTGGCAACTCACCCCAAGAAGATGACGCCAAACCGTGAGATTCGCAACGTATCTCAGAACCATTCTGCTGGGCCAAACAGATCAGACCAACAAGCCATACCAGCTGCTTTCCGCCCGCTTTGGCCAGGCCTGCTGTGCCTGACGCTGGGCCGGCACTGGAACCAGCCACTGGACGGGGTCGCTCTGCCCAAATTGCAATCCTTGAGCTTCGGCGCGGACTTCAACCAGCCTCTGCAGGCCGGGTCCATGGGACTCCAGCGGCCGTCCGTTTTCTTTTTTTGCATTCGGTGGTCAAAGATGGCTCAGCCGCAAAATGAAAAGGGGTGGGGGTGGGGGAACTCCTAAAACCGTTTGGCTTCCCCGTTGCAGACACACGAGTAGAGTTGGGAATGCATTCGATTGGGTGCTTTTCTGTCCTTTATTTTTGGCAGGATCAGACTTTGCAGTGTTGTGGCCATCAAATAGTGCATTGTTTGGGTGGGCATTACACAACCAGGATAAAAACAACATGCCCTCTTGAGTTGGCAAACCACATCTTCACACACTTTCTCCCGGGGATCCTGCAAGTGAAAGAGCACCTCCGGGGCCACCTGCAAGCCTTTACAATATTATAACTTACAACTGCGCGAAAGTTGACAATGCCGCGCCTGCCTGCACAAAGCGCAACCATGAGTATGGCCAACTTGACCTGCTGTTGCTGTTTATTACACAGTTTCAAGAGGGAAACACTTTCGTCCCCTTGACGTCTAGTGACACCTGTTGAAGTGAAGCAACCACTGCGGTGACTATGAGGGCGGGCAAAAGAGGCTGGAATGCATCAGAGGTAGTGTATGGGCGTGTCGTTTTACTCCCAAAAATGCTAGATTTTCTTGTGGTTTCCTTTTTAAACCATCCAAAAAGTGGTACCCTCACAAAAAGATTGTATCCTTCCCATGTAACCAGTTTGTTTGCAGCGCATGTACGGCCGTGCGCTGACCGGGCCGGGCCGGAGGGCGTATCAACTGCGAGTTGACCGATTTAAAAAGCCGGGTGTTCATTTGTGGGCGCCATAGAAAGTATATTTTCTTTCGAACCCCCAACTCCAGACGAGCCCAAGCTGCCCTGGTCGGTGAGCCATCAAAATGAGACTGCAGGTCATTCCTGTTGGCGTCAGCTGGCTGATTCAGCTCCAGGCTCTATGGATTTCAGCTGGTATTCTTATCCAAGCTCAGAGTAACTTCTTCTGCCATTGAAATTCCTTGATCATTTCACTAAGATAGCTAATTGAGTCATCATTCTTAACCCAGCCAAACATGTTTTGCGTAATCTCACCCAAACGGTTTCTAATTGGTTCCGATCGCTTGCTTCGAAGGACAATGTGCGTAGCATCTGAAAGGATTCTATTTGTTAGAACCCATGCAACTCGTCATCAATATGGGTGTTTCTGAAAATAAGGGGCCAATTCTTTTAGGTGGTTGGTTCCCCTTGGATTTTCCCGCATCCAGGGACACCGATTCCTAGTTTGAGAAGCACCTATAGGGGTTGGATTTTTTAAAAGGGGAAACCTCAACCGTGGACATCCCACCGAAGTCGAATGTCCAAGGGTCCCTATGGTAAACTGGCCTACGGAACAAAGTCCACAACCTGCGGACCTGCGGTTTGCCTCAGCTGTTGAGCATTTTGAGCCACAGCCATCCAATTCGCCCCGTGAAGCTGCACTTTTGCAACTTGCGATCGGTGCGAGAGTTGCAGGGAATGAGAAATGGCAGGGCCCGAGGTCTCGAACCATCCAACCGGTGGTTTCCTTTGAGGGGACCAAAGCCATGTCCCGCATTCCCTCATTTCCTCATTTCCTCATTTCCTCATTCCCTCATTTCCTCATTTCGCATTCCCTCGTTTCCTCATTTGCCTTTGGTTTCATTCCCTCATTTCCCTCCCATTAGGTGGTACTGCCGTGCCTGGAGCACTTGGTGCTGGGCGAGATGTTCGACCAAAGCTTGGCCCAGGCTTGGGGCGTGGAACCCAGAGAACTGCGCGAGTGGCGCAACGAGTTCTTTTTATTTATTTGGGTTGTTTTAGTTGTGTATGCTTGTTGTTGGCTTTCTCTCATATACATGTATGTATGTGTATATATATATACATGTATATATTGAACAAGTATAAGCAAATAACAACATTCGGTTGTTCCTTCATTGGTGGGGGTACTTTTTTTTGTTAGTGCTTCTTCTAAACTCAGAGGAACCGCAAGCAACGCTCAAGCCTGGAGCTCCGTGTTGGTTGTCGCGGTTAGGACCTTTTGCGACTCGCTATATTTGCCTCGACACTTTGGTTTCACCGGTTTTGTTTTGGCCGGAAGCTGATCTTTCCCCGACCTTTCTTTTGGCATGGCCTTCGGTGTAGCCCGAGTGTTGTCTTGTCAATGTCCAGCGAGAGTTACCGTATTTGATAGCTCAGGACTCCTTGAAGCGTCAGAGGGTGCAAGATGGCCCCAATTTTTCCCACGTACCCAGACGAGCCTTGAGACCTGGAGTGTCAGGACAGCCATGTCCAAGAAAGCTGCATCGGCTCACTTTTGATTCCCTGTACGAGTTGGGAAAGCCCCACACCACCTGCAAACTGCCATAGGATAGGCCCTTCAACAGGAATGATTTGAGAGGTTGGGCTAATCCAGGTTGAAAAATCAACGTGTGATCAACGCAGTGTTTGCGGCCAAACCATATCCACCATATTGTATCTTTGGCGTCTCTGCGCAGTTTCCGGCTTGACTCCTGTCGACTATGAGACTAGAATAGGTTCGCGACATTTTCTTGTCTATCAACCCTTCATTTCCCAGTCAGATGTGAGATGGTTTTTCAAGGCACATACCCTCAGTCTGCGGAAACACTGGCGCCGATTCGATGAGAGTTTTTCAGTTTCAAAACCAAAAGATGAGGATCCTTTGAAGGCTCTACAATTAGGCGTGCCTTTTTGTGAGGGACCCCACAAGTGGTTTTCTTGGTTTCCCTTTCAACCAACCCCAGAAAGATACCTTGCAAAGACAACCCCGACTTGAGCCCGAGCACCGTGGGTTTGTCTTTCTTGAGGGCGCCCATAAGCCGGCCAATTGGAGGCCCTCGGCAGGCGTGTCAGATCTTAAGATAGTTTCCACTACCCTTCCGAAATCACCCCCCGCGGGATTCCATGGGATGTACAACCGCTTTCATCCAATATAGACACCATATACTGCAAAGGGCATTTGTAATCCGCCTTTCCCCCTTGGGGTGGTGAAACCATTTGAACAGTGCCAAAAACTCCGATTGAGAGTTTTAGCAGGTGGTTCTACTGCTTGGTTTCTTGGTTTCAGGATTACAGCGCGCCATGGCCTCAATCAAACGGGACCAACAATGGCAACGGTCTCCTTGTTTCCCCTTGCCAAAAAGAGGAATCATAGCGATATAAACCTTCATAACCACCTTGGTAGAACCCAAATGAGCAACACACAAAACCCGATGACGTTTGCTTCCACCAGCATGGCATAAGGCATATATAAACCTTGCCATAACCACGATATGACCAGGTAGTAGAACCACCTACTAAAATTGACCAATGGGGGTTTTGGGCGTTGCTAGCGGGAGCGGATGCCAAGTTTATCGAGCGTGAGAAGATCAAGGCACTTTGGCCCCGAAAGAAGAAACACAGTTGTTCCATTATCCAGTAAATGCAACAAAGCAGGAAGAATACGTTTATTTCATACCCTCGGCCTCGGTATCATGCTCAATTGAGCATCACTCTGTTCAATGATCAGTTCGTCGTCAGGAACTTTGCATCCATCCACCAAAAGTATGAGGCGCATCAAGAGCCCCTTTGCGCACGCTCCACCCGTGTAGGAAAACCCGCCTAGCCACAGCGGAGCAGATACGCTGCTATATGAAAGCCTAGAGTCTGAATAAGCTGCAGCTTAGTGAGCTTAACTAACAAATGGGGCTAGCATTCCAAGAGTCGATTCCGAAACAAGTTATAAGCACATTGAAGTTGCTCTTCCAGCGGAGCGTCAGCCAAGAGGAGAAGGCTCACACACAACAACGCGAACCAAGACCGAACAATTCTTTTTCCGTTTGAAGATCTTGCAAGGGGCCTCACTGAAGGAAAGCACAAACGAATCAATTCAATTCCAAAGGCATTCTCAGCTTCCACTGCATCTTGTGACATTGTCTCCAGAAAGTCGCTGCATTTCCACTAATAAACAGAAAGCAAATAAGACCCTCAAGCCGAGTAGGTTCATGATGCCCTTGCCCAGAGGCGTATTTATGCAAAAAGTCCATACTTTTTGAGTATCAGCCTTATTCTGAAAAGGATGTTCGGGAATCCTGACATGTTGCCTACGCCAAGCGGAAAGCAGTAGAATTTGCAGAGCTAATGCTGAGCTGATGCCGGGGATGCTGGAGATGCTGGCTGGGGATGCTGGAGATGCTGGAGATGCTGGAGATGCTGCAAATACTCAGAAAGCCCCCTCTTTCCGTTTTTTGTGTGCTGGTTCGCAGATTATGTATGGATTGTATATGTCCAGTACCTGACTTGTGTGGTTGGCCGGTTTATTTTCAGGTTTGGAGATATCCTAAAATTTGCGGACCAACATGGCGTGAGAAAGGTCCTCTCTGTTCAGGCGGAACTGGCCGCCTTGCAGAGCTTGGTGCTCGGGGACGCCTTCGATCAGCCCCTGGCAGAGGCGGCCACTGGCCATGAGAAGGGAGCCCTCTGAATTTGGCGATGAATATGAATAGGAAACCACCTCAACAGTGGTTGGTGGATATGAGTCACCACCTAAATGATGTCCGCCAAAGGGTCCCCGAAATTAAAAGTCAGGCCCATGTGTGTGCTAAAAAAAAGTGGTGGTGGGAATGGAATCCTGATTTTGGTATCATAAAACATAGTTACTACGGCCAGGGTTGGGCGAGTGAACTTGTCGCATTGCAAAAAGCCCACCGATTGAACATGTTTCTTTGGGGGTGGGAGCTCTTGCTTGTCGATCCTCAAAAAGGCGGGACCTGTTGGGTTTGCTTTAAGCAACTTGTTGGTTCTTCAATCCCCACAACCCGTGGTCACTGTTGTTTTGGCACTCTGTTTTTGGGTTGTTGGTTCTCTTCATTTTGAGTAGGCTGCAAAATAAACTCCTTTTTGCTAGCCATACCATTTGGGTTGTAAAGACAACCTCTCTGGGTTTCCCTTTAAAGGGGCCCGATCCCTGCCGGGTGCTTTGGTTGCGCGTCAGGCTGTGGCGAGGTTCCCCAAGCTGCGGAAGCTGGCTCTGGGGAAAAGCTTCCGGCGGAAGGTGCCGGAGGCGACGTTTCGTTTTGAGCCAACGAATGAGGCAACCCTAAACAGGTTCTGTGGATGGTTGCGAGATCCTCTTAGGCACCACCTAAGAAACCCTGGAAGCCCTGGAATGTTTCGATTCCCCCTGTAAATACCAACAACCAATGGCTTCAACCATGGTTTCCAAGTGGTGCAGGATTTCGTCCATCCACAGTTTGGATTGGTGGTTTGGATTTGGATTTGAAGCCCTGGTTCTTGTAGAGGGTAAATGGGAACCCCCTTCTTCACCACGAAACCACCAAGCCAAGGCCTTCCTGGGTTCATGGACTTTTAACTTAGGAAGACCATTTGAGCGGTAAATAAGCAGTTCAGACTTTGTTTGGCCGATCCACTCAGGAAGTGAGACTAGTGTCACCCAAGTGATCCGGATGGTCCCCAAAATTCGACGCTCCCCGATTGCTGAACCAGGGGTTGTCAACTCTAGGGTTCCACCCCGACCCAATTTATATAGATGATGACAATCCTGAAGGGCAAGCAATGGTGGTTAGAGTAGCCCGAACATTTTTTTAAGGGTGGGTTGAATTTCAAACCCCCAAGCTACCCCGATAGTTCTGCTGACGATCGTAAGTTCTGGAACGCTACTTTCCTTTGGAGGGAGGGTATCGGCATCGGGCCAAACCCAGTTCTTCATTTTCCCAAACCACAAAACCCACCTTTTACCCCCCTCCCGAGAAGTAGTGCTTGTTCCTGCGGCAGTGGCAGTGATGGTTGTGGTACCTGTCTGCTGGTAGTCCCGCCCCCAGGTTCTGTAGGTGACCCGTGGACACGGCCAGATTTTAAGCATAGGATCCCACCCCTCCTAAAACGAATTGCCTTCCCCAAAGACCCGAGCGAACCAAACCCCCCATGTAAATGATGTCCGCACCAGGGTCCACCATCAATATAAGTCACAGGATGTTTCCCTTCTACAATGCGGGTGACTGGTATAATCATGGGGTTCATGGTTCATGGTTTTCCCGGGACGAGTAGGATTCAATGTCTCTGCAGGTACATTGTGGAGCACTTGGCTTGTCTCAACATGGAAGGAATCTTTGCGCATGTTTTCTCTGGTTTAGTGGGGGTCATGTTTTTCTCTCTCACTCTCTCCCTCTCTTTTCCTCTCCGTATACGGGTACGTTCGCGCATACCTTACCTTGGACTACAGTACTAGTACATTAAACTACATTAGATTGCATTGCATTGCAGTACATCACATCACATCACACCACCTTGTGCCACCTCACTGGACATGAACATGACATTACATGACTTGACGTTGATTCGCATCACATCACATCACACCACATCACATCACATCACACCCCACCACGCCACGTCACATCATATTCCATTCCATTTCATTAATTGCATTGCATTGCACTGCATTGCATTCAATTGCTTTGCATTGCATGGCATGGCATTGCATGGCATGTCATTGACACATACGTGCAAAAGACATGAACAAATGTAACATATGTCGATATATACATACAAATATGCATTGATCGATCCCGATACATCGATAGATCGATCCATCGATGGATAGATAGAACGGTGGATGGACAGCCCTACACACAGACAGTCAGGCAGGCAGGCAGGCAGGCAGGCAGGCAGGCAGGCAGGCAGGCAGGCAGGCAGGCAGGCAGGCAGGCAGGCAGGCAGGCAGGCAGACAGAGAGATAGATAAACAGATAGATAGATCGATGGATGCATAGATGGACAGACAGACAGACAGACAGACAGAGGCAGGCAGGCAGGCAGACAGACAGACAGACAGACAGCCAGAAACAGACAGCCAGGCAGAAAGCAGGCAGACAGACAGAGAGATAAAGAAGGAGATAGATTAGATAGACAGATAGATAGATAGATAGATCGATAGATCGATAGATCGATAGATCGATAGATAGATATACAGACAGCTAGATGGCTAGGTAGATAGATAGATAGCTAGACAGCTCACACACGCTCGCGCGCACACATGATCTTCGCTTTCATTTCCCCCAGCTCCGCCCGTAGGCTTGGGCGCTGCGGAGCTTGGAGTACCAGGGCATCTACGTGTCCGTGGAGTAGCCCATGTGGGGCCGTTTCGGTTCCTTTTGGGGTAAGCTGGTTTTGGTTTGGTTTGAAGGGAAGCCAAAAGGAGAGCCATTTTGAGAATCCCTGGTTTTCAGACAAATCCAGGTGGGCTCCCTACGTTGATACGCAGTTGTTGCAAGCTTGCGCGAACAGGGGAGAAAGCTAACTTGCGCTTGAGCAGTGAGAGCAGACATCAGTGGAGGCAGCGTTTAGGCCGCTTCTGTTCCAGAACCCGGCTGTGCAAACGTAGAGGCGCATTTTCCGCCATGCGTTGGGCTGGCATTTTGGCCCTATGACGGGACCAAAGATAGTACAGCGCGCAGACTTGCACCAAAGATGGAGCCTCCCCAAAGCGGGCATGGACAGGACCTCAAAAGGAGGTCGGCCAGGCTTTTACTCACTTCCTGAGTCCCTGGATTTTCGTTTTTTTTGGGCCTGGACCATTTGGTGGCAAACAACAGGTTACTGTTTTAAGGCCAATACTCAAGAAGTGAAGTTAAGTGCACGAAGCGCAGAGATGGTTGGAAAAGAGTCGGTTTCAGGTGCATGGTTGAGAACTGGGTTGTGGGGCGATTTTGTTGTAATACCAAGGGAATTCCCGATACATGCAACGTCAGGGATGGCCCGTCTTGGTATCACACTATCTTTGGTGTAGGGTGCACCAATAATGTGCAAAACCGTATCAGAAGCACGTTGATACATGAGATTCCTCTTCTTCAGAAATGTACTCCCTGAAGCACACATTGAGACTGGACTGACACTGACGGATGCTCATTCCTTGTTCGTGATTCTTGCTCCAGAGCAGGAAAACACTTCCGCGGGGGGAGCGGTGGTAGATGGTGGTAGATTTGGCAGCCTCTGATCAGAGGATGTCGCCACGATATTATTCAGAGTTCACATTCCATACCTTCGAGCGGATCTCTATTCGCATTTATTCGCGATGGGCCATTTGTTCTGGAGTGAGCCAAGTGGATTCCACTCGGGCCAAAGAGATCGGGGATTGGGCTCGGTCCCTTTCCCGCGCTCGCAGAACTTTGTGGAAGACGTTCAGGCTCAGGAGGTGGGGGGGGGGAACGGCAAGGGGAAAAACCGGAAGGTGGCGGGCCACTGGTGAATTGACGTGTGACCCCGTTTTGGAGAGGAGGACTCGGCCTTGGCGCTCTTGTCAGCGGCTTCCATGTTAATTCTATGATCTGGTTCAAAGTGTAACATTCACTTTTGCGAAAACTTGGTGAGAAGGATTTGAGATGGGACTCCGGCCCCCGAAATCATATAGGCAGACAGGGAGAGGCTGTGGCTTTTTTATATTACGCGAAATGTCTTTGTCAAAAAGGGGTACCCTCAAAAGAATGATCTTCCTTTCGGATTCCTTAAATCCAACCCAGGAACGGTAGCCTTACAGGAAGCACGCAGCCACACACACACACACACATTGGGCATGTGCCTCATTGTCTATGGAGGCGCACGGCAAAGCTGCCGCAAGGCAAGGATCTTTGGAGGGTCATAGTCATAGACGTACCAAAAACAGGCTCTTCATGACCGGCAGGCGCGTTTCATTTCATGACCTTGCTGACTTCTTCCCCGTGGAGTTGGTAAGATTCCTTCGAGCAACTACCAATCCGTTGCTCAGTCTGCGGTGCGGAAGACATGGCGTTAACGTTCCAGTCTTGTGTCCACTCGAGCCGGAGTTTTTCCTCACCGGATCTCATTGGCAACCAGAGGGCCGATCCATCCGATGCCGTTTTGCTGCCAACCGCACGTCGAATCAGCTTGGTTCAGGAAGGCCGACATTCTGGTGGAATTGTAGAAAGTGGTTCACCCCCGTGATCATTGACTCCCCATTCAGGAGCAACCCATATTAGGTTGGCGACTCATGATTTGCCCAGGCCATTGATTTCCAAAGACGAAGCCAAGGCATTGGAGATAGAGAACATAAAAGTGAACCGGTTTGGGGTGGTTGGCAACCACGTGAGGATCTAGGTTAGTCTTGCCATCATTTGCACTCGGGAACTGAGGTTGAGTCTCCCCAGAAAAGTTCTAAGGAGGCTAAGAACCCTTGCAAGAGCCCTGAAAAGGTTCCAAAAACCTTGTGGGTGCGGCCTCAAAGTGATGCTTGATGCTCGTAGCGACTGAGGTCTTGGCGCTGGAAGCCGTAGAGAAAACCGAGGCGGATGTAGGGGGGGAGGCTCGTCTTGGAAGGTTCCATGTTGTTTTGTTGCTAACCCACTTTTGTGTCAATCGCAATGCAGTGTGAGTTGTGGAGCATGACATTCGCGTTGCAATGCAGATACTGTTCGAGTCTCCGATGATTTGTTCATAGTATGTGTTTCCCACATTTTGGGGTGGGGGGTGGGGGGTGGGGGGGGGAAATCACAATCAGGGTTTTTCTTCTGAGTGGTGGTTGCGCATTGTGGTGTAGTTCCGCTTGCCATGTTTCGCCTAAACAAGGCTGTGATTCTTCCTCGGGAGCTTCCGTACTGATTGGTCGCAATTGGGTCAGCCAGCTGATTTCTTTGGATCAGGCACGCTTTTCGTGGAAGGTGCGAAGGTATGGGGTGCCGCGGGAAAAGAAACGAACAGGCTCCCGCCACAAGTCCTCTTTCGCTGTTTTGACACTTTTACCTGTGCCAGGTACCTGCAGTCAAGCTGTAGCCCACTCAAAATATCGACTTGTCTGATTCGTTTTGTGTGTTGAAGCGTGCCCCATGCATTTTCCACTTTGCGCCAGCGGTCCCCAAATTAAATGGGGGCGGGCGGCACATGCTGTCGGATGGTAAGGAAAAGAAAGAAGAGTCGAAGAGCACGAGGCCAGCCTCGGGCGGGCAGACGGGCAGGAAACGGTTTTCGGGATCTTCCAGTCCCCACGATTTCGGGGTGGAACATGGTAGGACAGCCGCTGTGGTATGGCTGAAAGAGGGGAGTTGGGAGGTTCTTAAAATGGTTCTTCAACACCCCTTTTTGTTGGTAGTTCAGGGGGGATTCAAGGGAAGCCGTTGCCACAAGGCACTCCTATTTGGGTATTTGGGTGTGTCACTTTTGATGCTCGGTACTCTTTTGAGGTTGGTTTCAAGGGAGACCAAGAGGAACCAACGTTTCGGGACCCCTTTGAGAAAGACTCACTTGGCATTGCATCAAAAGAAAGGCCCAAGATGTTGTACAAAAGCGTCACTTTGGCACTTTGGTTGAAGGACTTGCTGACCTTATGGGGTTGTGCCTTTGACCCACTGCCGCAGCACCAAGTTAGAATGAGTATATCTCTTTTGTGCGTGCATCTTGCTGGATGCTTGAATTGTGGTGGGGCAAACAGGCCCCTTGGACCACGGCTCCCTGAACATCGTTGTTGGACAAACTCCCTATGAAAAACCTCATGAAATGTCATCTCCCGGAAAAGAAAAGAAGGTGTGTTTCTCAGAAGTAAGGATCCCTTTTTACCTGGTTGCTGGGGAAACTGCCTACTGGCACGGAACCAGGGCAACCGAATGGATGCCGACAAGAACGCCTCGGTCAGGAAGCCCAACTTCAACGTGGAGTGTCTCCTGCAGACCGGCGCCCTGATCTTCAAGCCCTCGGGCCGAAAGATCTGGGAGGCAGTGGAGCCCGAGACCCAGGGCTGTGCCAAGTGTCAGCCGGGCGGGATACAGCCAGTATGCATAATGTTTACACATATATATATATATGTATATATATATATATGTTTTGGTATATATGTACATGTAGGTACACAGTATATATATATATACATATAGACGAGTTGGTGTGGTACGCAGGTGTATGATCAGGTCCTTCCTGCCCCGCCCATGGACCCTTGCAAGGGAATGGGGGAAGCAGGCAACTTTGCGTGGCAAACCTGGCCAAGTTTTGAAGCTGAAGGAGCCCAAAACAGACCGTTTGAGGTGGTTGTTTTCGCGGCCACAAGATCACCGAACAACCAGCTGATTTCGAGGATCCTCGCAAAGAAGCCGGTTTTTGGCTGTATGTGAAAACATAGGGAGTCCCCCAAACTGGCGATTTGTTTTGTTGCCCCTTTAAGCCAAAGCAAAGTCGCCCTGAAGCACACACACAAACACATTCCCATGTACTTCTTGAGGTCGTGGTTCGTTTTGCCCCTGAACCCAAAGCAAAACAGGCCAACAAAATTCGACCCACAGATGGCCTTCCATGGTACTTTGAGGTCCTCCCTGCGGGACGCGCTGCGCGCGGTGTCCGGGTGCCCCGCCTTCCTGCAGGCCAGGTAGGGCTTCTTGGCCCCGAATTTGGAGACCGAAGCTTCCAGCGATTCAGACCTCGTGGGCCCCTGAGGTTTTGAGATCAGGGATCAGGGAACAGGGAACAGGGTCCCAGCCATTGGGCCGCTGAGGTTTTGAGATCTTTTTGTTACTGCTTGGTGGTTGGATTTGAACCAGAAGCGGGTTATTCATGTGGGATTCCTGCGGATAAGGCTTGATTGCAAAGAGCGGATTCCTGATGTGTCAAAATCGACCCCCACCCCCAAAAAAGAAGATACCTGGTGTTCTGGGGAGACCCCGCTTGCATGCAATGCTAGTGGTGTGTGGGCCAATATAGTAGACCCCTGCGTTACCGAGTTGTCCAACCAAAGTCAATGGGTTTTCGGCGCTCGGGCAAGAAAAAAGGGCGGCCTCACAGAAAGTTTGTCGGCTTTTGACCTATTGCCCCATGCAGGCTGAGTTGTAGTGCCAGTGCTCCCGTGCCCAATAGGCTATTCCCATGGTTGCCATTTCTCCTTTGTTTTCCACGGGTTTTGTTTCACTTTCTGAAACCCAGCCAATGTTGCTTTTGGAGTCCGCTGGTGTAGCCGTTCCAAAACAATCCGGGCAAAGCAACTTCGTTTGGGGTGGACGCTCATTCCTGCTGGTAGAGCTTGAATATTGGTAAGAGGAGTTTAGGCACTTTTTGGCCACCTTGCCACTGGTGGATTGCTATCGGCTTCATGACTCGAAGCAACCAACCTTGAGCAGCAATCCATGAGACCGTTG